TACTGTGTTCATCGATTGGTAGAATTAACATGCCCATATAACCCAAAACAATCTACAGATTCAATGCAATCCCTATTAAAATACCAAAGGCATATTTCATAGATCTAGAACAAATACTCCAAATATAGAACCAGAAAAGACCCCGAATAATTGCACCAATCCAGAGAAAGAATAAAGTTGGAGGAATTACAATACCAGATATCAAGTTATACTACAAAGCCACTATAATCCAAACAGCCTGGTACTGGCACAAGACCAGACATATAATTCAATGGAACAGAACAGAGACCCCAGAAATCAACCCAAGCCATTACACTCAAATTAATATTTGACAAAGGAGGCAAGAGTATACAATGGACTCAAGACAATCTCTTCAATAAATGGTGTTGGGATAATTGGACAGATACTTGCAAAAAATAAGAAACTAGACCACTAACTTACACCATACACAAGAATAAACTCAAAATGGATAAAAGACTTAGTAAGTAGTCATGAAACCATAAAAATCCTAGAAGAAACCATAGGTAGCAAACTCTCAGACATCTCTCATAGCAGTATGTTTACGGATACATCTCACAGGGCAAAGCAAACTAACAAGAAAATAAACAAATGGGACTACATCAAAATAAAAAGCTTCTGTACAGCAAAAGAAACCAACAAAATAAAAAGGAAGCCCACTGTATGGGAGAACATATTTGACAATGATACATCTGATAAAGGGGTAATATGCATAAAGGGGTAATATGCATATATTTTGCATATTACCCCTTTAACAAAGGAAGACAAAACAATCCAATTAAAAAATGGGCAAAGGACCTAAATAGACACTTCTCCAAAGCAGACATACAGATGTCCAAGAATCATACGAAAAAATACTCAAAGTCACTGACATCACAGATATGCAAATTAAAATGACAATGAGGTATCACCTCACACCTGTCAGAATGGCTACCATCAATAAATCAACAAATAACAAGTGTTGACAAGGATGTGAAGAAAAGGGAACCCTAGTACACTGCTGGTGGGAATGCAGACTGGTGTAGTCATTATAGAAAACAGTATGGACTTTCCTAAAAAAATTAAATACAGAACTGTCATATGACCCAGTGACCCCACTTCTAGGAATATATCCTAAGAGACCTGAAACACCAATCAGAAAGAATGTAAGCATCCCTATATTCATAGCGCAATTTATAATGCCTAAGATCTGAAAAGAGACTAAGTGTCCATTAGTAGATGAGTGGATAAAAAAGTTGTGGTGCATTTACACCATGGAATACTATGCAGCAGTAAAAAAGGATCTCTTACTCTTTGAGACAGCAAGGAGGGGCCTGGAGAGCATTATGCTAAATGAAATAAGCCAGTCAGAGAAAGACAAGTATCACATGATCTCACTCATATGTAGAATCAAATGAACAAAATAAACTGATGAACAAAATAGATCCAGAGACATAGGAGCCTGGAACAGACTGTGGAGTCTCTGAGGGAAGGTGGTGGTGGATGGGAAGAGATCAACCAAAGAACTTGTATGCATATATGCATAACCCATGGACACAGACAAAAGAGTGGTGAAGGCCTTGGGCGGGGGATGAGGACAGGCTAGAGGGGTCAATGGGGGGAAAAGAGGGACACGTAATATTTTCAACAATAAAGTTTTAATTTTAAACAAAGGAGAAAGCTTTCTATAGTACACAGGGAACTGCAATATTCTGCTGTCAGGTAAATTCAGTTTTCAAAGATGGAGATTAAAGTTTAAAGGGCAGAAAACAACAGGTACATCAATGTAAACATTTAACTCTTTTTAACACAAGTAAAAATTTCCAACAGTCTCACAATTTATCTTACTTCTCTACTTACAGTGCACTTTCCATGTCTGCTATATTTTCTTCCATTTTCTGAGACTACATAGAGGTAAATAAAGTTGTCATGAGATCCTACAGCCAGGCGGGTGCCATCTACTGAGTAGCGCATCACAGAGAGCTGTTCATTCCCATCTGTATGGATAGTAGCTACACTGATATAACTACAATCTGGCCCCGTGGAGGTTAACCAGCTTTTACGGGTCTAAATCACAGTATTCATATGGCAAGCTAAGCATATAATTGCTCACTTCAGCTGAGCACATAGGACCTCTCCAAATATAGGGTTGGTTCTCCTGGGAAGGAGCTATGTTCTCTTCTCTATGGTCTCCTCTATTGTACTTACTATGTAGCACAGCAGTTCTCAACCTGTGGGTCACGACCCCTTTGGGGGTCGAATGACCCTTTCACAGGGGTTGCCTAAGACCATCGGCAAACACATATATAATTACATATTGTTTTTGTGATTAATTACTATGCTTTAATTATGTTCAATTTGTAACAACGAAATTGGGGGTCACCATAACATGAGGAACTGTATTAAAGGTTCGCGGCATTAGGAAGGTTGAGAACCATTGATGTAACAGATGGTCAATAAAGTCCAACTGATTCGTGTATATTAACTGCTACATTTGCAGTAGTTACTTGTTACTACAATATTGAAAAAAGCCAATCCAAAACTTTTTCTGCTTCTACTCTTGTCAGGCTTATAGATAGAAGCAAATACTTTTCCTTCCTTTCTCAAGAGAATAGTATTCAGTGCTTCCTATGAAACAACTTAGAAAACTTAGAAGTGATCAAAAGATCATCTGAACCCCACACTAATCCAACAACTACTGGAATATATTTTTGAATATATGTGAATGTCACTCTAACTCCAGGAAAGAAAGTTATGAATCAAAATCATAATAATAAGAGGAAAAGAAAATTGGAATGCTATGGAAACTTAACATTTTAAATAAAGTACAAAGATTAATTCAAGCAAGGCTAAACAAACTTATCAAATTCTTGGGTTGCTGAGTATCCTATATAATAAAAGCCTAATATGCTAAATGTCCAGTCAACCGGTTGGCTGTTCAAAACCAATCAAAGCGTAATATGCTAATGATATGCTAAGGCTGCTCAATTGCTCGCTATGACATGCACTGACCACCAGGGGGCAAACAGTCAACCAGTCACTATGACATGCACTGACCACTGGGGGTAGATGCTCTGACACGGTTAGCTTGCTGCTGGGGTCCAGCCGGTTGGGACTGAGTGAGACAGGCCAGACATGCCCTGAAGCCCTCCTGCGGTCCCTCCCCAGCTGGCCAACCTCTCACGTCTTTCCCCTGCCTTGATAGTGCACTGGTAGGGTCCCTCAGCCTGGCCTACATCCTCTCACAATCCAGGAACCCTTGGGGGATGTAGGCTAGCCGGTTTTGGCCCGATACCACAGTGGGAGCACCGCTCAGCCAGAAGCTGAGTTCACAGCTGGCGAGTGTAGCGGCAGTGGCGGGAGCCTCTCCCACCTCTGCAGAAGCGCTAAGGACAGGGGGAGCGGGCCTAAGCCAGCAGTTGGACATCCCCTGAGGGCCCCCAGACTGTGAGAGGGCGCAGGCCAGGCTGAGGCACACTCCCCCCGCCCCCGAGTGCATGAATTTCGTGCACCAGGCCTCTAGTTTCATATAATTAACAAAACAATCGTTACTATGTAATCCAGAATAATGCCACTAGATTTTAAAGAACTTGAAGGGCCTATAAAATTTGTATATTTTTAATATTCTATAATTTCTTTTATATTCTCTTATATACAAAGAAAAGGTTGCTAAATAGATGTAACATTCAACCTAGTACCTATTCAAAATTCTAAGCACATTGTATGTTTAGTGCCAAAACAGAAAGTGTGTATGTGTCGGGGTGGGGGTGGGATGGGGTGATTGCACTATTTTCTGCTTTCAATTGCAAATGCAGTCTAACAATTCATTATAAATTTGTTTCCTTGATTTAGAATGTTGTTTAACTTTAGCAGATTTTTTGCAGTTTCTCGAAGCAGAGTTTAATCGGAAACTCTGGGGAAAACATATTCAATACTTTACAACTCTAGACAGAGAATATAGTAATCAGCTTCACTGAAAGTGAAAAAAGCAGATATAGAGAAATGCTGTGAATGCCAGGGTGGGGGTAAATCTACTCACCTACTGAGTAGCGCATCACAGAGAGCTGTTCATTCCCATCTGTATGGATAGAAACTAGATCTCTGGTTTCTGCATCCAGAACAAACCACCTATTAAGAAGTCAAAATAAAAAACTTTCAGATATTAGCATTTATAGAAAAAATGGTTGCTGATCATTTCTCCCTTTTTAAAAATTAAGAAATTTTAATATTACTCTTAAGTATGACATGTTTCCCTCTTCCAATGAAGGATGAGTTCATTTTGCAAAATGTTGCTAGATACAATATAAATATACTTATATGGGCCTAGGCATGTTCATTCTATTTAGGTATTCACTGAATGCCCACAGCGTTTCTTTGCTAATTAGCCTAAATAGAATAAGATGACAGGATCAGTGTTTCTGAAGATTATACTAGAAGTGGGGAAAAGGAAATGAGCCAATTAAAACAAAACAATCAAGCGCCAATCTTAGTGATGCTGACTATGAACGTCTAGTAGAGGAACTCTCATAAGGAAAATGAATGGTAGCAGGAGGATAGGATACAGGATATGAGTTGAGCTGAACCCTGAGGGAAAGAAGTACAGCAGTTCAGGCAGGAGGAGTGAAAGCTGCACAGCTATGGAGGTGGGAGGGAGCACACAGTGTGAAGGTGGGAGGGAAAGGCAGCCAGCCATTCATTTGGTGTGATTTCAGAGGAACCAGCAGGAAGCACTCTGCCTCTCCAATACCTTAACATATGCACAGAGAAACTAAATTTGATAGTTTTTCATTCACATCTATAGGAAAAGTAAAAATGTAAAAGCCTCTTGAGAAGTAAAACAATGACTTAAATCCAACTACATCATAAATGACTTATCTAAAAGCACTAAAGGAAGAAATGGTGTTTCAGAAGTGTATGGCAAGATAAGAGCTATAAGAAAAGGCTGGGAACTAAGGATAGACAACCAAAGGCTGGATAAGTGAGAGAAGGCAGGTTAGAGACCAGTGATGGAGAAGCTTTTGAGCTCGGCATGTCAGCATTTTGAAAAACTCTAACTTAACTCTGGTGCCATGTCACATATAGAAATTTTTTGATATTTGCAACCATAGTAAAACAAAGACTTATATTTTTGATATTTATTTTATATATTTAAATGCCATTTAACAAAGAAAAATCAACCAAAAAAATGAGTTTGCGTGTCACCTCTGACATGTGTGTCATAGGTTCGCCATCACTGTTATAGACAGTATGCAGAGCTGGTTGGAGTTCAAAGTTAAGCATTAAAAATATTTGTAAAATGAATAATGAACTAATATAAAATGTCTTGAACATGATAAAACCTACATTTTAGCAAGAATTACTTAGTAGTAGTGCAGTGTGCAGGAAGAAATGGTTAGGGTAGAGAAAATGGGACAATACTAGAAATATAAAATTACTATCTAAATCTCTTGTAATAGGGTGGGACAGAAGCAGCAAGTTTTGTTTTAAATTATTCAGATAGGAAAATTCTATCACTAAAATAAGCCAGTAACAGAAATCAGAATGACAGTTCCTTTCAATTTTGAAACTAATTATATAACTAATATCTGGAAAGAGATCATTTATCTTTCAGATTAAAATAAATACTATTTATGAGAGGATAGTGCTTTAAAGAATTTAAAAAACACAAGTTTAGGGATGCTGTTTCATATGCCTTAATGAATTCAAGGTAGGAGATGAAAGATGAAAAGATCCCAACTATTCTACATAATATACTAGTATATAATAAAGCCTAATAGGCTAAGTGTCCAACCGTTCATTCAACCGTTTGACCAGTTGCTACAACACACACTGACCACCAAGGGCAGATGCTCCAACTGGTAGGTCAGCTTGCTGCTGGGGTCCGCCAAGACTGGGACTGGGCGAGATGGGCCAGACACGCCCTGGAGCCCTCCTGTGGTTCCTCCCTGGCCCCGTCCGTGCACTGGTGGGGTCCCTTGGCCTGACCTGCACCCTCTCGCAATCTGGGACCCCTTGGGAGATGTCAGAGAGCTGGTTTCAGCCCGATCCCCGCAGGTCAGGCTGAGGGACCCCACTGGTGCACGAATTCGTACACCGGGCCTCTAGTTTACCTATAAAATTGCTCTCTAAGCATGTTCATGAATGAATTTTAGTAACTTGTGAGCCATAGGTTGAAACTTCCAGGTAGCTAACTTAATTCACAAATTCTGTCTTCTATCCAGGTAACAGAAATAGCTTCTATTTGTGAATACTGGCATTTAAAAGTAGGAAACTGGCATTTGAAGCCTATGCTACAAGTTTACTGGTCATTTCAATTTCAAAGGTATATAAGAAACACACTTTATTGCAATTGGACAGCTCCCATAGATTAAAGGTTTCTTCTGAGAATGTATTTCATTAATCAATTTTTATGGCTTCCACTGTGATGCTCCTCTAAGCCAAGAAGTGCCAAAGCTGATGCCAAGTTAATTGCCCTCTTACAGTAAGGGAACAAAATATTCCAACTCAGATTAAACAGACATACCTAAAGAACAATGAGATACAGCTCCACTCTGCAGGTGTCAGGTTTCCAGTTTTTAACGAATTTATGTAAACTTTACCATACCTTCTTAGGCATTCAAAAATTATCAATTTTTATTTTGGAGAAGTCCCAACTGATACTGTTTCCAAATTAGTTGAATCTTACTAGGAAAACTGAAAACAATTTTATCGTTTTGGAAACCCCTCAAAAGGTTATATTTAAAAAACCACCCCAGAGTCCTGGCCAGTGTTGCTCAATGGTTACAGTGTCGCCTGCACACTGAAGGTTTGATTCCTGGTCAAGAGCATGTACCTGGGTTGCAGGTTCATTCCTTGGCTCCAGTCTGGATGTGCTCGGGAGGCAATCAATCAATGTGTCTCTCTTACATCAATGTTTCTCTCCCCCCCTCCTTCCTTCCCTTCCACACTCTCTGAAAATCAATAGAAAAATATCCTCGGGTGAGGATTAAAAAAAACAAAACAAAAAACACCAGAATGTGTTATTGGTATAACATGTTGGAAACAAAAACTCTGAGTCATTTACTAGAGATGGTAGTTATTTAAAAAAAAAACAAAAGAGACCTCTGCCTCCTTTTTCTATTTCTTCAGTCACATATAAGAGATTAATTCTACTTTTGTTAAGGAATTTTTAGTAATAATCCAACAACTTTGTTATTGAAAATAAACAACTTCCATATGGACCCCAAGAAGTAATTTTAAAGCTCCCACTCTTTTCACTGCATGAATTATGTTCTATCTTCAGGAAGATGTTTTGGACTCAGGATCTCTGTCCCTAATAAAGGTATGGAGAACATAACAAATTCTCTACCAATGGTAATTTTATAGAAATAAATATTTAAGTTTTCACTGTGTTGAATTTATTCTTATTCTAGTCTAGAGTATATAAATTCTAACCAAGCTTCTGCTTTAAGGTAATCTGGAATCATTATGGGGCTCTATATTGCTCCTAAGATAAATGATGGTACTACATTTTGGTATTTGACTCACATGTCAGATCAGTTTAAATATATAACCAAAGATTTCTCATCTCGAATACATTTAGAAAGATCCATTAGGTCCTTGTTTATGATCTAATGCAAGAATAGGAATGTGGCTTGTATAATCAGAAAAATGTATAAAGTCAAAAACAGGAAAAGAGTAGCCCATTTCAACTTTCTTATTTTATAAATAAGAACAATGAAATCCTAAGATGCCAAAACCCCCAACCAGTCATCAACCAAGTATTTAGTGGCAGAACCAGGATAGAGCTCTGGCCTGTGCTTTTCACTGTCTCACAATAGGGAAGGGTGTAATCTCTCTCTGCCTGTGATGCGCTAACATTTAGGGATTCAGAGAAGAAAAGAGTCGGGAAAGGACGCAAAACAGGAGTTTATAATCAGACTGGGGAGAAAGAGTGAGTTAATAAAGTAAAATGAAATATACAAGGATTATGAAATTTCAGGCAGGGAGGATGTAGGTGACCTGGGATTTCATCTCATCAAATGTGGCATGGATAGGTGGGACATAAACAGGTGGAGAGGAGTAGATAGAAAAGTACAAAGGGGTCCTAAGCCAGTTTGGTCCAATGGATAGAGTGTCTGCCTGCAGACCTAAGGGTCCTGGGGTCAATTCTGGTCAAGGGCATGTACTTCAGTTGCAGGATCCTCCCCGGCCCAGTCCCTAGTCGGGGCTTGTGCAGGAGGCAACCAATCGATGTGCTTCTCTCACATCGCTGTTTCTGTCTTTCCCTCTGTCTTCCACTCTCTCTAAAATTCAATGGAAAAATATCCTTGGGTGAGGATTAAAAAAAAGAGAGAGAACCACA